ATCTAATGTTTTGACAGTTTTGGTGGGTACGGTAGGAAGTTAGAAAGCCCTGATTCCAAACCAATGGTCCACATGGCCTCTAGGATCCTAAGAAAATGATAGGCGTATAAGAGTATTTCGTTCACTAGTTATCATGATACAACATCTGACGTTGCCTTATAGATTAGGCCTTTTGGTCAAGACTTGGGAACTGTCCCTTGACGGAAATATCTACTTCTCTTTAGGAGTTCAAGTAGTATCCATACTCTTACTCATAAATATGACAGTTATGAAGAGAATACTATACACCTATCGATTATAAGCTAAGTTTTATGTTCGACATAATGAATTCTTTGTTTTTTCTTTCCCAAACACCTTCAAAATAATAATAAGTAGTGAATGAAATAATTTTTACTTACAAATGTATCTTAATTCATTATCTTTTCTTTATAAGAAAAAATAGTCATAGACAAATGAATTATTCTATTTATAAATAAATTAAAGATATGAACTAAGTTGATCATTGAAATAACAAAAAACACATCTAACTTGATGAGTAAATAAAAGGAAGATAATTTAATCAGAAAATAAATGACATTAGTAGAGAAGAAAACTTTTGTGATTAAGGCGAACGACAACTAATAAATAGATAGATAGATATGAAATATATTCAGTTCATTTGAGGGTATTTTTTATGTAATAATGACTATGTATGTTTGTGTGTGTGTGTGTACTTGTTCATATTCATGATTGTTGTTATCACTAAAATATAGACAATTGTTTATTCACTAATAACAATTATCATTATTCCTATCAATTTATTATTCATATAGTGGAAAATTAATTATTGGAAAAAGCGGTAAAATAATTGTTCATTGAATGGAAATGTCTGTATTGTGATTATAAGGATGATAAGCTAATTTTTTTGCCTATCTTTTTGAGTTTGTGCGCTTGTATTTTTATTTCATTTTAACCCCTTTTCTACTTCTGTTGTTCTTGAAGTGTTCAAATGGTGACAGAAATGATGAAGTAGTGGATAATTGTAATAATTATTTATCATTCTTTTTTTTTGAGGGGGGGGGCGATGAATTTTCAAGACGATTAACTTGATAAAGAGATTATATATATGTATATTGCTTATTAGAGATTAGTTTTATTTTAAACCTCTCATTGAATATCCTTTACATTTTGTGTATATAAGAAACTGGTTAATAAGAATGATGCACAAAAAGGAGATTAATCATTTACTTTTGTTATATCTATTCACAATTCGCAGAATAGATTATCATTGTGAATTTGTATTCAATAGAAAGTTATAAATTATTGAATGTTTAGGGAAAATGTATTCGTTTGACTAAAATGATAGGCGTGTGTGTATATGAATTTTGAAAGATAATTAATAATTTATTTAATGAACTGTATGCTCTAGAGTAGATCAAGCACTTTCACAAAAATGTGTCCATCTGGTAGGATCTAGGATTGAAATGAAGATATTCAAATATCAGAATCAACTTTGGTATTTCGGAACTTCATGTATTCATTATGAAGTATTCTAGTTCTGGATATTTAATATTGTAAAGATTTGCGATCCTAAGGCATATTAGCAAAATTAAATGTTTTATGATAATAACGATATCAATCTCCACAAAAACTCTCTTGATACTAATCAACATATGCTCACTAGTGACTGGCTTAAAGATGCATATCCTGGAGTTCTAGTGAGAAGCAGTGACCAGTGGAGTTCAACTGGGTCAGTTGTGAGATAGTAACTTACTGATGACAATGGTCGATGTGTCGCTCAATCTCGTGGATTAGTTGAAGTTAGACATTAACACCCTTGAATGCTGGCTCGGTGGTCTAATGGTTAAGCGCTCGCGCGCGAGACCGAAGTTCCTAGGTTCGAATATGGAGGGGGGAGGGTCGTGAGTGCGCACTGCTGAGGAGTCCTACAATAGGACGAAACGGCCGTCCAGTGCTTCCAGGTTTTCCATGGTTGTCTAGCTTGAATTGACTCATGATCTCAACTATCGAAATAACAGTATCATTAATTAGTTGTCCTTACTTTATTAATTCATAAATAATTGTTGCTTTGGATAATTCAAATTAACATCCTGTATTATTTTTTGATTAGTAAAGGCTTTTACTCTCGAATTGTTAATACTTAGAACTGAATTGTGATCAATCTTTGTTGGCATATGTGCATCCTGTGTCCATTACTACGATACAGCCATTTTGTTACAAAATCATTTAGAATGGATTGTGGCTAGCAATGAAGTTCAAGATCTACATTCCATCCTATTAGGGACTCATAAGGCATAATTCACGTGGTAGAATTCTGTACATATAATAAAGCCAGTGATTTAAGCTGTGTAGTGGCTTACCTTCGATATTGAAATGTTTAGAAGATAAGAAATAATAACTGGTGAATTTATTAAAGTCAATACTATTAAATAAATGATTGATAGATACAAATAAGAGATCAAGGTAACTTATATCAACTTGATATTAGTTAAAGAGTGATTGATCTAAATACAGAAGAGTAATTTATCTAAATTCATCAATGGGTGGATGATTTATAAACTTGAAATTGACTTATGGTAGTTAAATTATTATATACTCGAACAAATCGATGATATTTTGTATCGAAGAGAGTTTTTTTAAGACTACCAACATTAGATTTAAATAATACAGTTAGAAATTAATAATATAGAAACATAAACAACTTAGTGGTTGTTTCACACTGACTTTTTATCTTCACACTAATGAAGTAAAGAAGTATCAACATAAATTACGGTGCTCGAAGTATCTGGTCAGAACCGTGGTAATTATTTAGAGATATTTCCTTTGGTTTAGTTCACAGGATACATTAATATCATTGAACGTCAACTAGCTGATTGAAATGTATATAACCTCTGTCGAACTGAAAAGAACAGCTGTTGATTGATTTCAACTATATAGAACTCTTTATGCTTTCAAGTGACGTACACTTTAAGAACAACATTCATATAGTCAGAAACGGTTCATTTTTTCTATTATAATACTACGATTCGTATTCGATTACTTTGAGATCGTACATCAGAATTTCAGCTCTATTATTGTTCACTAACATATTCGACATCATCGATGGATCTTATATATATATATATATATATATATATATATATATATATATATATATATATATATATATATATATATTCGTCCTTTTATTATCCATGTATGAAGACTACTATGAACTGATAGATTCAGTTGGATATTTCATGTCAGTTAGTAATCAATTAACTTTAAACTATTACACATAATTTTTTATTTAAAAAGGAATCTATTAGTCAAGTAGAGAGAAGATAATGATTTTCTAATTCTTACTCATCTACAAATAATAAATATAATACTGATTTAGTCTCAGTAGATTAAACCAACTGTTTATCAACCGATTTAAGTATTAAAACAGTTAAGCAGTAAGCACGTCTTATAGAATTGCTTTCACTAATTTAGTAAAATGTTGGAATATATTGTCGAATTAGATGTCTGTAAAATAAGTTATCTGTTTGCGTGAAAACAAGAACATATATAGCAAGGAAGTAAATAATACGAGAATGTTAAGACTTTCAATATCTAAAAACTAATAACTTGCGAAGGTGACTTTTTCTCTGTTTAAAGTACATGAAATTTGGTGCAAATAAACACTGAAAATAGTATGTTCCGCACAAGTAATATTTCTGTATGCGATAGGAATCTACTCTGGCGCTCGAACCTAGGGAAATGCTTTTTATAGGTGACCGTTCTTTAAGTTTTCAATTAAAGTGCTGATTCCCAAAATAGTGGAGTACTATCAGAAAATCCAGTCTCGTGGTGATCGATGACTAAAACTGTTTCATTCGCCGCTTATGACTTTTAGTATCCTGTAGTTCATGCTTACCACTTTTTTGAAGTTAAGTTTTCCCAACCCCATTGGTTGGATTCGCCATATCTATCAACAATTTTTCAGAGCTAAGATTTTTTTGATGTATTATTCATTCTAAACAGAACCTCCATTAGCATAGATGCAATGAGTGGAAGAACGTATCCTTACTAATATGATCACTTTAATGGTTTTCACTCGGGGATCTCTTGTCATTGAATATTTCTGTCTCATAAAAATATACATGTTCTAGTTGATTCTATAGAATATTATTTTTTGTGTGTTTATGCCTAAACTTACTTCGAACTTGATTCCCTTCTAGATATTATGATTGTTAAATGGATATGCTAAACTCAAACTGTAGTTTATTAATACAGATTTACGAAACCACCAACTAACCTACTTTATTACCCAACTATCTATGGCTACTTCACCAATGTTCAACATTATCAGAGATATCACTAATAAATACTACAGATAATCACAAATAAATGACTTCATTTTATTGAACAGAGGAAAATCAATTGCAAGTTCTATTTAAATAAAAAGTCGTATTTCATTTTCATTTACCCTGTGTAAATTATATTCATTTAATAGTATACTCAAAGCAATTTCCAGTATATATATATATATATATATATATATATATATATATATATATATATATATATATATATATATATATATATATATATATATTTAAAACGAAAGACATCTGCTGACATGAGAAAATATTTCCAGAATGTGTATATGATTCGATTATAACTGATTACTAATATATGTAAACGGCTCCCATTAGAGCCATGTTACAAAGGAATGTAAACCAGTCATGATAATGACAAGATTCTAAATTGATCAGAAGGAAAACTAACTGATAAAACATCTAAAAACGTTTCAAATTATTGTTCAACGTTAAACAGTTAGCGTATATCAGTTGAAATAAACGTCTAACAATACCCTAATAAACACTTTTACAAATGGTATAAGAAAATCCATTCAAATTGTTGAGTGAAATCATTAGTTAAGCTGATCAACCATATTGCACTTTAACTCTGAAGATCTTTAAGTTATTATTATCATTATTGGAAAAATGTAGTAGTTTATTAATAGATGCTTTGTTTTACTTATTGTTTTCTGATGAACTTGACATTGAACATGGAGGTAGGTGAGATGGGAAAGATATCGGGTGGACAGGAGATGTATATATAACATTATTTGAAATATTACAGTTGCTATCAAGGTGAGTAGTTTCCAATAGTTTCGATTTGATAGGTTCAAATGTGATGCTTTTATGATCATCATTTAATAATAAAGAGTCTGACTGTTGAATTTGTGAATTAAGACGTATGATTAATTTGTATAATTCATCAATTGCATTTGCCTGCATTAGGATATAATTTTTCGCTAATAACAATGTAGCGATTTTTGACAATTTTCTTACAGATGGACTGTGTGCATACGGGATAACACTGCGTAAATCATCTAATGCATCATTTAAATCATGCATTCGTCGTCTTTCTCTAGCATTTATACTTAAACGAGCATTTCGTTGATGATGATGATGCTGAACGTGATGTTTAGTTACATTTCTTGAATGAGCATTTGAAAAATGATGACGGTTTAAGCATGTTAATGAATGAGATGTTGTTGTTATTAATGATGAGGGAGATGAAGATGATAACGGCGTTGTTAATTTCCATAGTAGATCATTTTTCTTTCTATCATAAGAGGTTTCGCATTTAATACTTGGGAATAAGATAAGGTCATCATTATTTTTTTGTGATTGACTAGGATCATGTGAAGTAGTAGTAATAGTGGTGAATAAACAACTATCATCAATATCGTATATTTCATCCATTTATGATAATTATAAATGGAATTAATCTGTAACAGTTTGAAAAGTCCTCACATCATTCTCATCGTATATTGGTCAGGTCTGTTGACCAATCAGAAAAGGGCTATGACAAGATGTCAACCAATCACATCTATTCGATAGTTTAGACGAGGTTAACTATTCGTTACAAGGCTGGTTAATTATATTTCTATTAAATTACTGTTTTCTCCACAAAACCCCTTTCTAATAATATTTCTATTATACAGAAATAAAATTATTTAGGGAGTAGACTAGAATATTCAGAAGTTCAATGAAATCTCTTGCAGTGGAAACTCAAGTATCAGTGTCTCTAAAAGATTATGAAAAAAAACATTCACATTTTCAGTACTGTTAATGTTTATATTACCAGTAAATCCTCGTCGTTATAAACTAGCTTTGATTTAAATAGAATGTTGACCGATTAATAAATTAATGACTATGTAAGAAAATTCTTCCAGTTTTAAACAAACAATTTTGAAATAGTTTGGTACTGTGTATGATGAATGGTAAAAATAAAACTCTTTACGAAAACCATAACTGAAATCAAATAATCCAGATGTTTCTTTACACAGTTTGGTCCGATCTTCTTGAGGAAGATAATCCAAAATATAAAATATAAGTAAGGTCAAAAAACAACTATGAGTTAAACGACAGTCATGTTAGAATTTTGAATATGGTTCGATGTTGCAATGAATTAGTGTAAATAACTGACATTCGTTTGTAAAAGTGGAAATATTGATTCGTTACGCTGCAGTGAGTGTTAAACTAGAAACAAGGGAAATTCGACCATAATAAGGAAGGTTATCCTGGGATTTGAGTTGCATTACAATATCTGCCGAAAGAATAATCTCTAAGAGTCATATATTTGGCACCTTGATAAACACTGTGAACAAACCACACATATACAAATGGTTTGAAATAACTCATTTCATCCCACATCTGTCGCATAGTGACTGAAGCTTCAGATGATGGAGATGTGAAGCTCTCTTCTGATATTGTTTAAACAGGCAATGACAATTTTGTGATTAAAACATTTAGCTCAGTTACATCAACACCACCACGAGCATTCAATAACACATATAATACAAGCAACTGAAGCTATCCAGTGAATCCGATTGACTCTGAACTCAAAACCCCTTTAGAGAAATTTTCAATGCCCGAAGATTAATTTGACCCAACATTCAACTGAACTTCTTTATTTTCTGAATGGAAACAGGTGATTAGAAAATCATTGTTTCCGCTTGAACTCAAGGTACACAATTTTGTTTATGATCCATCAACAAACCAGTCAGAAAAATAACTTAAACGTCTACCAACCAGATTTAATCTGACCGTGACGTAGTACGTTATTATCTAAAACGAAATGGTGCTCCATTTATGGGCAAAACTGTTTTGTATTGTTTATTAATGTTCGGTATGTACATATTTCATTGTTAGTTTTTCCAACTTGGCTTTAGTATTACTGTGGTGTGAGCTACTTATATTGATATAAGTAGTATATATCGTGCGTTAGAAGAACGTAATGTCTGGCAGCAGAAGATGGCGAACATCAAGAAAGGTAGAGCGAGAACACAATGGAATTTGTAAGAAAACACATGAACAATGGATTGGTGTTTGCAACAGAAACAGTCCAGTTTGATTTGATGCATGAATATTTTGCAAATTGACGATTGACTATATGGTATTAAGATTTTGTTGAGATAGTCTGTAATACATCCGGTTGTCCCCACACGTGTTCTTATTCACTATATTACCAGTTCTTGAACAAATTGCGTTAATTAATATTCTGGGAAAACATAGTTTGAACAACCGAGTATCATGTGTTTTAAAATATAACAATGTTAAGACAGTGGTTCTAGAGTTTTATAGGCCTTGCTCGAAAATCATACGTATATATATGATGAGTATTAACATTCATTATTAATGTGGTAATTTTTCAATGAATACATTTGAAACTTCCTAATTATGTCAAAAAGGAACGAGTACTATCAACAATTTAGAGATCTAAAGTTCACATATTTCTCGGCATGTTACGCTTAATAAAATAAATCAACTATACATTTTGGTTCAAGGTGATTTTCGTTCAAATGACTTCCATTATATTATATAATTCAATGTGATTCTTTTATTCAAGCAATATTTGTTAGGTTTTTACAAAATTTTTAACTAATAATCGGTATACAATTAAATGAATTCGAATAGGAATTATTCTAATTCTTCTTGGATTTTCATCAGTAAAGTTTTTAGATTTATAGCATTTTTGTTTCAAATAAGCAAATAGAAAAGAAAGAGGATAGAAATAAGTCTTGTTCACTGCCATTTGAAGTTAGAATAACGAACTATTGGCTCAATGTATGAATGTATTACATACAGAAATATTTGATTATAAATGAAGAACTGATGTTACCGTCTCAGTTTTACGAAATTTTTATTTCACATTTATTGATTTTTGTAGTTTCTTTGATATAACAACACCGTAAAATAATCATATTCAAAAGTGTAATTAAGATTTAGTATAATAAGAAAAAGAGAATTCAGGGAAGAAACTTTTTTTTTCGACGAAATTATTTACTTAAGCTGTACAATGGTATATATAGTTATATGGAAAAATATATCAGAAGGGGTTTTGTGGAGATTTTAGTAATTTCAACAACTGAAATCATGAGTCAATTGAAGCTAGCCTGGAAGCACTGAATGGCCGAAAGTCATAGTATGGTACTCCTCAGCAGTGTGCATCCATGATCCCGCTCCCCGCGAGACTCGAACCCAGGACCTATCAGTCTCGCGCGCGAGCACTTAACCATTAGACCACTGAGTTGTTATCCAACGATGTTAATGTCAAACTTCAACCAATCCACGAAGTTGCGCCACCGTACACTATTGTCTTGATGTTAGTCTAGCTTCAATTGACTCATGAATCCAACTATTGAAATGACTGAAATCTCTACAAAACCCCTTCTGATATATTTTTCCATATAACTATACATACGAATGTACGGCTTAAGTAAATGTTTTCGTCAAAAAAAGCTTCTCCCCTGAATTCTCTTTTATTTAATAACAAGAATATTATAGAAATGGTTTTTTAGAGAAACTGAAACTAGGAGAACTACAACAACCACCATCAAGGAGGTACAAGTATTTATAAATAGCTGTCTACGCAAGATACTCAACATTCATTGACCGGATACCATCAGCAACAGCTTTCTGTGGGAGAGAACAAACCAACTTCCAACTGAACGAGAAATTAGGAATAGACGATGGAAATGGATAGGACATACATTACTCAAATCACCAAACTGCATCACGAGGCAAACCCTAACTTGGAATCCTGAAGGGAAACGGAAAAGAGGAATGGCGAAGAACACATTACTTCGGAAATAGAAGCAGATATGAAAAGGATGAATAACAACTGGAAGGAGCTGGAAAGGATTGCCCAGGACAGGGTTGGATGGAGAAAGCTGACGAGCGGTCTATGCTCCTTCAAAAGGAATAACAGGCGTAAGTATGTAAGTAAGATTTTTTAGAGAAATTTTTATTTTGCTTCATTAAGGTATAAAAACTATTTCTCTCTCGTTAAATTAAGTTATACTCATTATTCATTCTAATTGAAGTTTTATAAATTCGTCTGTATATTTAGTGATAAAGAAATATGATTTACTGATTTATATTGACAAATAAGAAGACCAGTTTGCAGATTAAACTCTGGTTACATTTGAAATAGACAAGGCAAAATAAATAGCTTGATTTATTTTTGGTAAAAAATACTACTAACTAGCAAAATTAAAATTTTATTCAGTAGTTTAATTATAGATCCGAGTATACAATAAGAAAATTATTAAAATTAAACTTTGTTTTAACAAAGATCATTAAGATTTATAAGAAAAAATATAGAATAAAATTGTATAAAGATGTATAAAAAACAGATAAAGTTTAAGTAGTCAACTAATTTTTGGTGTATTGAATCCAGTTAATAAACCACTATCCGGACTAGGCTTTAAAATAATCTTTTGAACATCACGAAATTGAGGATGATCAGAACCACAGAGTATAGTTAATAAAGCTGATTCACATGTGGTCAAATAGACACCTGATTGACTCATTCGTTGAAATCCAAACATTCTACAATACATGTATGCAAAGTATGAGAAACTAAAATAGATTTTCAATGAATTTCATTTTGTCGTATCATAATATTTAAGAAACAAGACAGAATATAGTTGAAATATTAGGCTAGATATTGGAATACAGTAGTGCAACATTTTGCGGTTCGTCGAGACTACTAATGACATGTACGCTTCCTAAATGAGTTCTCAAATCAGCTACTTGAGTAAGTAGAAAGATTTCTATTGACCAACTGAATCAAAAGTACATGCACGAACTAAGTCATAACACAAATACATATCCCTCAGAAAACTAAGCCATAATTTTCATACACATAGTTCCCTTTATCATCTTAAAGAGAGCAAGAACAAAGATTGGTGCAGAATAATATGGATTCATTTTATTTCGTTACGTTCTCATCAGCTGCTTGCAACCTAAAATATTTAAAATTCAACATTATTATAGATATTGACATACTTATACATAAGAGGGTGATTAAAGATGAATAAATGTATCATGGTGTAGCGAAGATTCCGATAGAGTTAATGAGATCATAAAAAACCTTTTTGCCTCGAATAAATAAAGTTTGAGAGGGAAAGTTCCAGAACATTGAAATAGTGATTAGAACTCATGAAACTAGATTAATGGTAATAAAGAAAATATGAATTGAAATCAGTCAGTTATGTATGATGTAATTTAAACTTCAGAAAGAGTTAGAATAATGACGCAATAAATAGAAATAAATGAATAAAAAGGGGGGTTATTGTTACCAGGGTAAAGAAAGATTTGTCACTGTTTCTTTTTGTATACATAGGTCTGGTTTTAGACGTTTGATTGCCAATGCTTCAGCGAATTTCAGAAGGTTGGAGTTTGATTGTTTATTCATCACCTTGAAGAACTTCAGTGTATCGACATCGTGTCCTGTGTCAAGGAGACATTTTTTTTCTTTATTACCATTAATCTAGTTTCATGAGTTCTAATCACTATTTCAATGTTCTGGAACTTTCCCTCTCAAACTTCATTTATTCGAGGCAAAAAGTTTTTTATGATCTCATTAACTCTATCGGAATCTTAACTACACCATGATACATTTATTCATCTTTAATCACCCTCTTATGTATAAGTATGTCAATATCTATAATAATGTTGAATTTTAAATATTTTAGGTTGCAAGCAGCTGATGAGAACGTAACGAAATAAAATGAATCCATATTATTCTGCACCAATCTTTGTTCTTGCTCTCTTTAACATAATTTTTCAACTATTAGCGTATTTCTACTTCATTAGAAAGTCAACACTAATCTTGACTATTAGTGTCGTTGACTATTTTGCTTATATCTGACTGGCCCAGTGTACTAATCAGGCAATATAATCTCATGAGTTTTTATTCAAAAATTTAGGCTGGTATGATAGAATGAGAAGTATATTGAGCACGGTGTGAGACGATTTAGTGGTTGGAGAACCCAATTTCTAGCCACGTAAATGTAGGATAAGAGTACATGAAGATTAAACGATGCTACAAAAATAAAAGTAGCTGACTAAGTCTTTAAATTATGATTTAAATTAATCCTATGACATTCTGATGATTTAGTAACATTTTAGATTTTAATAGTCATCAAAAACACTACCAGTGATTTGGCTCAAAATAATTCAAAGTTCTTGTTAAGAGATTCTTGCCTTAACTATACTAATAAAGGAGATGAATTTGTGAATAAATAAGACGACTGTTACCAATATAAATCAAAATAAAAAATCAACCAAATCATCAGTGAAACGATAGTAACTCATTAATGACTGAATGAGGATATCCTCCCTTAATTATCCACTGAACTCTGGATTATTGCCTAAAGCTAGAGTAGTCAAATCAAGAAATCAAAATATTGATTTTCACCCTGACTGAAGAGGAGGGTCTATATTGCTGAATAGTTTCAGAATAGAACGAGAAAACCGTCTCATACTTCCTGATTTTTAATAATTATCCAGCTGATATCAAACTGAGATAGTATAACGACTAAAGCACGGAGTTTTCAACGAATCAATGGTTTCAGCTATCATAGAAATTGATTTCAGGTGATATTTTAAGACTCCTAGGCTCTATAATTAACAAGAGGCTTCATTAGTGGTCTTTTTTTAAATTGTTGGCTCTTATAAAATTGTGGCATCTATTCAGCTTTAGATCGTTTATTACATAAACTTAATTACGATCGAATGTATTAGATAATTATGTTACATAAGTGTAAAACATCTTGTACATTAATTTGATATAAATAGATTAGTTACCTGTCAACCATATTTCTTGAAGATACAGCATCTACAATACAATGAACTTGTATTCCCCGTTCAATTAAATCTAATGCAGTTGACTGAACACAAACATGTGTCTCAATACCACATAATAAAACAGAATTGATTTGTTTTCCCAGCTCCAAAACATTGGCTACTTCATCTGTTAGCATAGAAAATGATCTCTTTGAAATAATGGGAATACCACTTAAATCTCCTAACTCTTTGACAGTAGGACCTAAGCCTAAATAATGAAAGGGTTTCCAAAGTATTTTAATAGTAAACTTCATGTGAAACTTCGTAGAGGATGTACTGAACAGCGCTATCGTTGGAAAAAGTTATTACAGTTTAGCTATTACTTTCAATATAATATTTTACTACCTACTTTCCAAGATCATGTAAACAGTTATTATTACCTATATGTAGACTTCTATAGAACAATAAAAGTTCTGTTGTAAAAACCAGTCTTATTTTTTCACTCAAAAGTTCAATGATTTGTCGTTGTATAAGTTTACGCGGTCAATAATAATCGCATTATATACGTCTACTGATTAGTGTTATTACTAGACCTTTATGTCCCAGTGAGAAGCATAACAAGTATATTGCCCAAAGTGATTGTAACCTTAGAAAATCCAAACAGGTTAGATTAATAAGACAATATATTGTGTCCAACTCTTTGTCCAAAACATGTGACGAATGTATAGGATTTCAGACTGAACAAGAGAAAGAACTAATTTAAACAGCACAATTACTAAACATCTGGACTTTTACTATTATCAACGTTGTGAAATTTTCTTTCACACGATATATATATTTACAATATTTTGTTTAGTCTATAAAATTTGTTTACACCCTTGGTATAGAATACTGATGGGTGATCTAAATCAACAAAATAATGTGAACCCATTCTACAAGTAGTTGTAAATATCACAGGTTGTAATCAGCTGACGAGAACCAAACGACATGAATTCGTGTTATTAAGCTCAAATTTTTGTTCTCGCCCTCTTTAATATGATAAAGGGAAGTACATTTATAAAAGAACCCCCATTTTTATCTGAACTATATACTATAAGTGGTATTTTTGTCATCAGTTTTTGTTTAGTTTATTCTTCCTTATCTCGCTTGTAGAATTTGAGAACTTGAAATTATACACTAATATTGATTTTGTCTGTTGGTTGACATTTTCTATTTAGATTTTTAAATGGTTTATTTATGTAAAACTTCCTCACATGTTTGGTTTCAATTTGTTTGTGAACGTTTGAAACAATCATCGTCGCTGAACTACCTAGTAATTCTGAATGTTCCTACCATGTCAAATAAAAAGGCATAAGCTTTATCAGTGATTGAGGCGACTTAGTTTAGATGTAGCGATAATATAATCATTGTACTTCCATTTTAATATGCTTCTTATCAACAAATGTAATACATTTTTAATAGAGTTCAGATTATGCAAATTCCAAAGAGAAATGATAAGTGACAATTAATTTTACCAGATGCAATCGTTATCTTGAACTATAACACCAATGAGACAGATTTTCAATTTACCACTTCGCTGAAACACCCACAACAATGTCACCAGGTTTATTATTTATATATCTATTTATTTGAACACAAATATTAGTACAAAGGGGCACCAAATATATATATGCCACACAAGTCTCTTGATTGGTGTGTGGGCTATGAAACTGCCCAGGTGCCCAAACCGAAGCAGGTGATTTCCTTAGGGAGCCACACAGGAGCCTTTGACTTAGAGGTCTGATTCATAGGGCAGTGGAGCAATGTCAGGAGGTACTGTCCCATGGTAGCCGGTGACCAACGATTGATTCATACGCCATTTATTCCTTCAGGATACTGGAGCCCATGTGCCCCATTGGTTTGGAATCAGGGTTTTTCAATTCCCCTAGGTGGATTCTCCGTGTTTACCACACCAGTTAAAGCACAGGACATTGGCTCTTCGTTCTCTCAATTTCGTAAACAACATCCGCTTTTCGAGCAGGACTTCCCTGATAGTGGCTGTATACGCGTGGCCATGTAAGAGCATTTAGAGAGGCAGAGCTGACTCTCCCCACCCTCGACCGTACCAGAGCATTTGGGGGCAGCAGGATTACACAAGAAGACTATTTTGTAAATATACGAAGATTATGTCGATCATTGTTCTAACAGAGGATAATTCCCAGAATATGGCCAAAAACACAAATCTATATGGTTTCGTGCAAGCTTAAACCAATAGACTTTCCCATACAGAACAAAGAAATACCTCAAATACGAATAAATCGAGGTGTTACAGTTAACTCTTTTTATACAAAATATCTTACAAGAATATAAACCACACTTTAAAAACATGCTAGAATACTATTCTTCCCAAAACACACCTTTAGGGTACATTTCAGTGACTATAATGCGCATTCCTAGCATTCGAGCAGCTGTTAACATCCGACTAGACGTTTCGACAATTGCATCAAAATGACTAATAGTTGGGCGAAATTTTTCTTGTATATCACATAACAATAAAGCAGTACGTGGTAGTAATAGTTTGCCGACTCGTGAAATGCCAGACATAATACTGCAACAGAAATAGTACATAACACAATTTTTATGTTATATCGACAGAAAGTAATCGAACAAACACGTCTAACAATCAACAAAGAGTATATACGTTTATTGAAATTAGTAATGAACACGTCATTTGGAGCGGTGGAAGTAAGAAAATCGCTGCTAATGTCATAGGTGTGGACTATTTAGAAGTCAAACGCAACGTAGATCCTAGCAAATGAGATTAAGTTGACATACCACATTAGTACAGCGAAATGAAATTGTTAGGGCGAATCACGTGTTACAGAATGTGCAATCAGGAAAGAGGTTCAAAAATTTATAAATATGACTATCATTTATCACCTGATAAATAAACGTAAGAGGAGCTTCTCAAGTTTTATATAGTGTCTTAAGTACGTTTCTAAAAGGAACAGAACTACGCTCATCTACATAGTTAAAACCACTAAATTGAAGAAAGCTGGTAAACAAAGCACATTAGGCTTCTTGATCTACACTGCGTTACAATAGGCTAATCTCATTTTTTATCCGAATGGTTAATTTTAGTAAGTCAGATAAATGCAACGTAGATTGGTTAATTTAACTACATATTATAAGCTCCAAACTAAAAGTTCACTATTTTCCGTTTTTAAAATTGCAGATCTTCTTAACTTTAGGAATTCGCAACAACATTTATGTATGTCATATCGATTACAATACTAAATTGATGAATTTATACCAGTAGTGTTCGGTGGTAAAGTTGGAGAAAATGAGAATTTACTTAAGGATTCATTTTTTAATATTTTACCAAGATCTGTAAATTATTTAAATCTAAACAGTCTAGCTTCTCTGAATTTACTAACTAGTAGCTAGCTATACAAAAAGTAATAATGACTAGCTATTTTAGTCATGACGCTTTGACTAACTTTAGTGAATATGTTTTGCTATAACTGTGTGCTACGAATGTGTTGCATGAATCAAGCCTATAAGTTTGTTTGATAGTGGGAAATACTTCTGACCAGAACTAGCAACTGAAATGTCCATCCCTTAATCTGATGCGTCATTATTCATGAACAATACTTGTGGAGGCATTGCCAGTTTTCATTCGTATTTGACAGAAGTGACTCATGAATTTACAAAATTTCACGTTAAAGGTAGGAAGATTTGCTGTATGACAGGTATTCGACACACACATACATACACCAAAAATCATTAGCTAGTTAGCGAAACAGATCAGCTATAAAAATGAGGTCACACGAATTCACTCTACTAACTGAAGTTTGGACAGCCAGGCTGTCATTATTACTCTTTATGAGAGGTGTACAAGGTTGATGGGCTAAAGCTAACAATACAATTAGAGCGTTCACAAGAAGGCTTAGGAATGACCGAATGAGTTTAGTTACAGCTTCTAGGAGTAAACAGTATCCAAGATCTCAATGCGCTCTATTGGCTTTGTACACCAATTGGTCGTAAGAGTACCATTTGAGTTGAATGGCTTAGTTGTTAGTGTCAAGCGAAATGTTCTAGTTCTTAGCGCAGACAGATATACTGAATAACGAAAAACAAAGAATACGACTACAAAACTTTCGGAACATATGTTTCATAAGCGTTTCTTGGGCAGCAACAATACCCAAAGGTTGAGAAGACCAAAAACGACTTAATATAATTTGAAAACAACCGTGCATGTCAAGGAGATATGCATTTGTTGATTCAAAATATGTGAAGAACACAATATTGACATGACAAATTCATGATATTGAATCACTAAATAAACAAATTTAAGTAACTGGTATCCTTTATCATATGTGGAATGGATCGAAATCGATTACAATGGAGAAGACGTACTCTTTATTATCCTGTCTTACAACTCTTTAATCGTTTGTTAATCTTCGATTCGTACTTTACTTATTTGCTTTTTTCTCCGTCTATATATATTTCTCCTCCCCTCGGCCACTTTGTAATACTGAAACCCAAAGCAATATACATGTCTTAGAGATTTTACATAGCTGTACATTATTTTAAGAGGGAAAATACGCACTTTACCTATGGGTTTTTACCACAGATTATTAACTTCGCTTATGGCTAGATGAACGATTTCGCTAACAGTGGTATACTTATTAGATCTTGCACACTTTAGGAAACAGTAACCAAATAGAGGTTAGATTTCCTTTGTATCTTCAATCATTAATTTGTGTGGTCTCGCAAACCTTAGTAAGATATCGCCAAATTCAATACAACTTAAATCCAAAACAACTCCGTAAATCATTGTAGTATCATAATACATGTTCAGGGACTTAAACAATTTAGTACTTGAAATCTGTTGTATTTCAAGTCAAGCTAAGACAAATAGGAATGAAAACTTGTCTTGACACTAGGGCCAATAAGAATATGTTTTGTATTCATGCACTGACCTTCCTGTAAATATACTCATATAAAAATATTTGTCTAACATTTCAAACAGTCTATGGTTACAAAAGCAAACAAACATATATGCACAGGATTAAGTACGACTGAAAAATAGAGAAGTTTCAGAAAAGTATAATTTGACATTATGAAATCAAATCACAACCTCATCAATGAATAATAGTCAAAATATGATTGTTATTTATTAATTACATTCAATCTTAAGGAAATTAATTGGTACTAAGCCGCCAACTTGATCACGTTCTCGCCATACCTCACAGAATCCATCAGGAAGTAGTTTCCTGATTTGAACTTCATCATCGCACTGCAAGGTATAATGTGAATAGTGATTGCAAATAAACTTTATCATTAAATATACTGACATGTACGAAATAGTTTTAACTTTAAAATGTAGGTAACTACCTGGAAAAACGTATAAACTAGGGGGTACAAGCCCACATTCTTCAAGAAAGATTCAAAGGTTAGCATAACATTTGTAACTGCAACTGAGGAATGTAACAAAAAAGTACGCGGTATAAGTTAAATATAGTTTGCCGATTGCAGCGCACAGAAAAGCTAATGAGGTTATGGATCAGGAATTTACAGGTTGGTGAACCTGGTCTGTAGTTGCTAAAACAAATAAACAGAGTATTGCCAATACATGAAATGTATTGGTACAATGTGGACGAGTGATGACTGCCCATGAGATCGAATTACTGACATACGACTGTGAATAATTACAAATTAAAAGACCATTATCTAGAGGAATAGGGCTTTTTACCAAATAAAACTACAGGCTTGTATACAAAAGCATTCACGAAAATAACGTAATTTGATGTCACGAACGATCAGACGAAACTAATTTTGCAGGTTTCTAATTCTCCAATGAAGTAGAGCCAAACTGGTAGGCTTCACCATTATATCGGATTTAACAAGAATAGTCTAAAAGTAAGTTACTTGTAATTTCTGCTAGTACAAGAGAAAGGGACTTTTTAATGAGAAATCACCTAAACTAACACCAGGCAAATCCTGATCAATCTGATTACAGTTTTGTAACATACATATTAAGGACCTACAGTACATATATATGTTAAAACGTCATGTTTCTCAGGCTTTCTATAGATGTTAGCTACGTAGGGTCTGATTCAAATGTACACAGATATAAAGTGTTACGCTTTACATAAGTACATAAGGAGAAAACAAGATGAAGTGGATGAGTTGGGTGGGATTAATAATGAAATAAATGGCATACAAGCCGAGAACGAAAGTTAAATTTCCTAAAAGAACAACACCAGAGATGTCATGGAAAGGAAATGAACTATGGTTGTGAGGAATATAAACTGGGATTTAAACCAAATTTGACCGACATCACTCAAATTCTATAACTATAGATTAAGATTACCTTGAGAACTTTAACTTGCAAGTCTGGAACTGCTTGCATGACTTAGTATAATGGCCAATGGTTTCATGAACTGATGCTACGTTTTGGTCAAGTTACATACATTCATTTCCAACTTATTTCTACTTCATAGTAGGTGATGCCTGAGATATATTACATACCCCTAGACACCTTGGTCAATAAAGACTGAAGACTGTATTGGCTATTGCATTTTGCTACACGTAAAAATTAATTTGAAGAATCATACAAAGGAATACCAGCAACCTGAATTTATTCCCAACCACAAACTGAAAAACAGCACTTTGGATTACCGTATTATTTAATCTACAACAAGTAATATCGTGAAGTGATTTAAATATAACGTTTGGAACATCTAAAAGACGAACTAACCTCCACTTTCAAGTGATTTGTTGCGAAGATACTGGGATTTCTAGCCCTTACAACCTTTCCAGTAGCTGGTAACTGAACAGATTTCAGCATATGACAATAGGTTAAACCAAGTTGGTCACCAAGACCCTTTAATCTAGCAACGATTTCAGGCGTAAACTAGGTAAAAAGGGATGTCATGGAAACGACAGTAAATAATATGAAGGATATTGTGATGGTAATAAAATTTATGGGTGAATTTTGAACGATGCTACTGATTTTAAGACAACTCATCTATTTACCAAGGTCAAAAGAGGACTACAAATTAATATGAGCAATAGGGACTTACGGTTAGAAATCAAAGTAAGGGTTTTCATCACGAACTGACATCAGCTATAATCAATAATGCCATTTAATTATATGGGTGAGTAAATGTTGAGCTAAACTCAAAACTTCATATCCTTATTTTCACTGGTTTGTCCATAAACTATTGAATCGCCGATATTGTTGAGTCTTAGTCCAGCTTATTTTTTAAAACAAACCGAGTCTGTATGTTAACGTAACCGAGACGTTACAACAGATGTAACATCTAGTTTCAACACAGTGGACCAAAAACGATTTAGGGTTGAGCGATAAGACTGGTTCTCACAAGCGGAAAGCTGGCTTAGTGATCAAAGTACCTGAATCCCAACAACTTGATTGTTATCCCCTATTTACCTCAGGTACGACAGTCGAGCATTCATACAACCATTTAGATGAAGAATTAAATCAAAACTAAATACATGAACATCTATTTAGTTTCTAGGACTTGCTAAATTAAGTTGTAACGAGATAGGAAATTGTAAAACTGATCAGTAAAACACTGAGATCTGAGGTAAGATATATTCATGACATTCAAGCTATTTTTGAATTACAGATTGCGTGCAGTAAAAACACAAGATACATTTTTGCCATTAATCCAAAGAAACTACATTACTCACCGGAGTTAAATAATTTGAAGGGACCCAACCGATACGGTTGTCGCCTGATTTACATAGAATCCACTCCCGCTTTTGTCTTATGAACGTCAACAAATCTCCCCTCTGAAAAGACAAATCTCCCTCTTCCTAAAAATAACGAGGAGAGAGAAGTTATAACCTGTGCTTGGAATGAATATAAAGCAGCATAAGTAGCCTTCTGGGCTGGCTGTCTCATACGAGTACTCGAAGAGTGTGAAGTATGAAGTCTAACTAACTCATCGAGCGAAGAATAGAGAGTGTCGCCAAACTTGAACTTCTTCAGTTGAGGTGCCCATGTAAGTAAGTAACGCTTGACTTCGTTCGCCTCTCTGATTATTAGCACGTAAAAATAAACATACTTTATCGCAAGCACGTAACCAGACTTCGTAGTGCTGTCACGTATCAAGAATGTTCCAACAGGCTGATCAATCAGAATCTCATTAGCTTTTTCTCTGCTTATTTCTCCAAAATACCACCTACAACATCGGAACAAATCATATAAACTAACGGAGCATCTGGAACTAGTTCGACCGCCATTTACTTCAAGGTCAGTGAATCAGATATGTTCAGTAAGACCAGAAGGCCTGCGGTATATGTTATTCCTTTTTTATTATACTTCTGTGAGAGTATAGCCTTATTCTGAATGAGTTATTTGAAGACGCTGACACCAATGCCACGAGTAACAGGTTCCAAGAATTGATGACTCGGTGTGAAAACGTGTATGCCACGGATATTTTGTTCATTCTTGGCTTCTCTACTTACCCTCTATGTCCTCTGAGTCGTCCTGATCCGGTAGGAAGAAAAAGAGGGGATGTATCAGGTCCAAAACATTTCTTAGCATTCTATACATCAAAATCAGACCGCCTATTAAAGTGTGGTTAGGGACGTCGTCCCAGTACGTCCATATCATCAGTTTCAGTTTACTTAAATGTTGAGATAAAGAAAATTATCACCAAATTTCGAACAAACTTCACCAAGCCTCAGAATTATAAACATATTTTTGTCACTGAGTGTAGGAGGTCCTTCGGACACGACGGTGATTGTACATAAACAGTCTACCAACATTCTTAGCTCAGTGAAATGAGGTTTTGAAAGCATAGATCAGGAATGCTCTCACCGATATATCTTAAATAAGACGATTGACAGTCATGATAATGCCACAAAAAGATGGATCAGACCGTAATGAGCCCCTCTTGCTTATGCTATGCCAAGGTTGATATCACCTTGTGGCGTTAAATAGATCCCCCCAAAAATGGCTCTGTAAATCTTCAACATTGGATGCTGACCACATTAGTTTTATTGGCTCACCTAGCTGAAGTTGCTCGGTCATGCATCCGCACCAGATCACGAATCAGAACGCCGTGCTCAACATTTCTTGCAATCGCTAGCCAGATTAGATCAGTCGATTCACGATATATTGATAGACTATCAAATATATCTTCGAACCTCCCTGCTTCTGTCTTTCGATTTCCCTTGGTGGTTCAATTCATATTAGTAGTTACTGGTTAAAGCGTTGTCAAACACCAAATACCTGCGGCATCTTCAATCTGATACGCCGTCATCATTACTCACGCAGCGATCCTGATACATTAAATTTTCTACTGCATCTAACAACTCACCATTAAGAGTGAGAGCATGCATATGTTATTACGAGTCTTTTGTAATTGCTTATAGAACGTTCCATGCCTGAAGACATTGACTGTTAACAGAATAAGTGTTAGTTGTAAGTATATTATTTCCTTGACAATTATTTTTTACCATGTTCATGAAGCTTCTGGGATGCTCCCAGTGTACACAATCCAAAAACAGGTAATTTATTTACCTTAACATCTTCCTAATCTTTGCACCAGAAGTTAAATCTGTAAGCGACGAAGGGACGTTTTAAAATCCTGTTTCACGGTAACTGGTGGCCGAAAGCAAGTCACCATATGACACTTGATCTCATTTTTACTACGGATTTGGAATTAGGGCTTTCTAATTCCTTGAAGTGGGTTCTCTACATCAAATAAACTGGTTTAAGCTATAGGTACCCGCATTTTGTCGTTTCATTTTATTGGCACATTTTGTGGCAAATGATAGCAGTCAGTGGGACTTCCCTCACATTTGCCATAGTACAGTTTCAACTGTTTTGAGAGGGAAAGCAGAGTTCCGATACCGTTTGTTGTACCAAGGCATTTGGGGCATAGAATGTACTCGTTTTCATCCGACCTTTGGCCAGAGGATAGTTAAATGAGGTATAAAGTTTAACAAAGTACAGTTTAACAAGAATTTAATTATAGGAGTATTCAATGATTAAGTGTCACGGACACATACACAAATGAAAGAAACTTGAATTGTGATAATAATTTATGATCGACCGAAGAAATGCCAGAAACGCCGTGTAAAACTCGTCCTATGAATCCTTACATGGATTTCATATTTACAACTGACTGAAAATGTCGCAGATCGTTTTGCTTATTAAGAATATGAAAAACCAAAACGAAAGTTGATCAAATCACTATCTGACAGAAAAAGAAATATAACGAAACATAATGTCTTCAAAACTGATTCTTCACTTGCAAAGCATACATCCGAATTTTGGAATAAATCAATGTTATGTTAAGAAAGGAGTGTTATCTAATTGGCAAGAATAAATGATGCAATACTGTGATAATTAGGAGTGTTTGAATTATAGTACAAACTGAGAATCCCAGAAATAATGCAATTTAACCAAGAAGTATTAGACTAGCACGAACAAACCTATTGTATTTGGAATTCGAAATCAAGCAGTCATCAACACACAAAGGAATCACTAGTTCATAGAAACACTACAGAAATGCTTATGTAAATTTGACGATATTAATTACAGTTATAAAAGATAAGGAATAAACAATAAATGAAAATAACTTCGGCATGATATAGCTGAATTTATATTACTTCTATCTGACTTTAATAAGGTGTCTCAATATTTTTTTTTAAATAGCCATTAACCTCAAACTAAACGTAACTACGTCTGTGAATCCTGCATGTTGGTAATTCCAAATAAATATCCGTCAAACAATTTCCTTACAAATAAGAGCAACTTAAGTGATTAGAGATAAATTATTATATATATATATATATTATATAAATTATTCCTAGTAGATACAATCAAGACTAATTTTACAATTTAATAAATACCTAAAAGTAGGAAGATACCTTCATAAATCTCACTTAATGAGGTAGTTGTTACCTATTTGTAGACTCCGTTTATTCATAAACTACCAATTAATGAAGTTAATTAACTGTCACTGGTTTTATAAATAGTAAGAATATTTATGATCAAATCATTAATAAAACAGGACTACTTATTTTTCAGTATCATCCAGCTTGATCTAGATTTTTACACTTATCAACAATGTATACAACTTTAATATTTTAAAATCTATTTATAGTAGATTTGATAAAATTTAAACCTGTAATACAATGGTTAAAAACTAAACACTAACTAACATACCACTGTTCACTTAATCATCATAGAATGATGAATCTTTCATAATTTCTGTCTCGTTTTAAACAAGTACTGTCTCAAATAACATAGAGCTATTTACCTGAATTATGAGTTTCTAAAAAAACAACAATATGCTTATTCTATTTGTGCTAGCTGATTTGAAGAATGAAAAATTCTTCATTTAATGTTATTATCATGATTTATTTTTAGATGCCTTTCACTATATACTTCATAATTCAATTTTCCTAAATAGTGAATAAATATATCACAAACAGATAGATAAGTACATTGTATTACTATTTATCAAAGTACGTAATCCAAAAAGTAATATAAACATAAATATTTTATATTAGAAATTATTATTCATTGCTTTTTCAGCATTCTATTGCTGTGTGGCGTCAAGTCACGATTGACTATGATCACCATTACAGGAAGACTGCGTGCCAGTTAACCGATAAGATCGCCTGTAAGTCAAATATCAGAAGGCAGTTGATGGCTGTAGTTGAAATGTATTTGTTGGAGATCTGGTGGTATCGAAAGAATACCGAGATCGTGCCAGTTTACAAGTATGGTTACTGAGCGTAGCCGAATTCGTGCAAGGTCACAAGCAACGGAAGAATTTATGTGTTTTGGTACAGTTAAACAATCAACTACGGTAAAACGATCCTTGGTACAGTTGGTTATAATAATAATAGTTTCCATTACACCAATCGCGTTATCTTGATAAAAGTAGGTCACTACACTATAATCGTAAGTGTTTAAGGAAAAAAAATAAAGATAAAAAGCCAAACAAAGATGTAAATAGAAAAAAATGTTATCATATTAACGAAACAGTGAATTGAAATAAGTTTGGTAAAAGAATATTCATATTCATTAAGAAATGATGATGTGAAGTTTAACTTTTATATTTTGAACATTACATTATTTCTGTCTGAAGCATGCTGAAATATCTTTTTAAATACACTTGGTATGCATTTGAAAATCATTAGCAAAAATTGTGTCTGTTTAGCATATATATATTATAGACTTATGAAAAATATTTCTGGAACGACATTACGGAATGGTGAAGTTCAAAACACAGTTCTCTATACTTGTGTGTGATATCACGGAAACTCTAGTTATCAATTGACCCTGGATTTCATGAAAAAAGACTGAGATTAGGGTATTTTTTTTTATCTCTAACGATAAACTTCATGTTTGTGTTAAGTTTGATGCCAAAGGTAACAAATGAATTTTATTTAGTAGGTGGATTATTAATTAGGATAAGCAATTAATCTCTTAACATTACATTGTTGATGTTAATAAACCGCTGAGTTTCTGATTTGATTAACTGGTTAAAAATGTTGGTTGGTCTTTTTGGTTTGGGATAAGTTGCAAGTAGTCAGAAAGAAGATATTAACCTGCATTTTGCATTTTGACACTAATAAGTAAGATATATATCTTAAAATACTAGTTAATTTACATCTAAACAGATTATTGAGCAGTGATCAAGCAGTTGTGGACATAAAATCCTATCGATAAGCATCAAGTGACTAGACAGACATAACATTGGACACTACTCAATGTTGAACAATTAATTTCAAATGTCTCAGTCTTACAGGACATCAGTCGAAAATAGTGACGTTTCATGCTGTTGAACTGGGAGACAATAGTTATAATCCAATAGGAAGCACCAACTTTTATGAAACTATAGAAGAATCTCGCTTACTTAGATGTCATATATAATGACAAATAATCACTAAAACCACGAAGTCCTGGAGAGCTGTTTTGTAATTAAGGATATCTCCAATGAATTCTAAAAATATCGCCATAAAGAATTTGAAGTAAATACTTATTATGTGGTTCCTAGTGGCTTAGTTCAAAATAAATTTTCTAAAGTCCTAGTGAAAAACTGTATACAAAGATCCCAAGCTATGCAGTTTTGTAAATGAGCGTTAATTCTTTCTTGTAACTAGAACCACGAGTAAAATTTCCCAAAATTTTGTTGCCGCATAATCTTAGTTATTGTCTGATTGATCATTAGCACCTTTAGTTTGCTAAATTTTCTCGAGGTCATGTTTAATTCCTGTATACTTAATGTTGTTTTGTTTCAATTTATCTTCAACTTCGTAAAATATTAAGTTTTCTACTGAATTTTTTTGCATTCTTACTGGGTTTTTTCGTTGTGGATTATTGCTAAAGTGTTTGTTTCAGTTGTTTCCATATTGCGTTTGTGATAGGTTTCTTCCATAGTCAGGAATCAGCATAGAGTAAGATCACTCTAAAGATATAACAAAGTGAAGATGGTTGAATGGACTAAATCAAAAGTGAGATAACAACTCATTGATAACGCCAGAAAAAATTCTCTTTCTCTCCCAAAAATTAAACGGATTTAAAAATACAAACCATTGGATTCCACTTAAATTACAGTTGCCATTCCAAATTTAATTGAGTCTGACCCCATACGAAATCATCTGAGGGGTTTCAAGCTATGGTGAATCAATTGTACATCATTTTAAGTGATATTAATTATTCAGGAAATCTGTTTTCTCGGTTCCCTAGGCAGAAAGAGATGGTAGCTAGTAGTCGAATCAAGGACACGAGTTTCGTCTTATTTGGGTTTCGACAGCTGGATGTTAAAAATGTTTGAGAATTAATGGAGATATAGATGCGATCTGCATAGGATGTCACACATGCTGAAAGAGCTCGACTAATTGCAGTACTAAATATCGGTAGCAAGATCAGAACAAGTAAAATTTATGAATGTTCACACAATTTCTTAAATTTCCAAATATTTAAATACATTATCCTTACTTAAACAATTCATGTCGTGTTCTCTGCCGATCTACACAAAAGAACTCCAAATAATAATGTAGATCTAGAAAATCTAAAAATAAAACCAACAATAGCTGTACTGGTGAATTAAATCCTTCTATAAATGAATGACCACCAATGTCATATATTTCACATTCTTCGTAGTGTAGACTGAGTTCTGTCGATCAAGTTGTAATGTGGGCACTAGCCTATATGACTCGATGTCGCGCACACTATGTTAAGATGTAAAGTGGCAGTTGGAGGTAGTTTAAAGAAAACCCTAGACGTAGGTTTTGTGTCATTTGACATTCGTCAGCATGGTGTACCTGTAAACCTGAAGGAATTGATGCTCTATGGAGGATTCGATCCCATGCCAACCAGCTCCACAATTAGAGACGTTATCTCTGAGCTATTCTAATCCTCCAGGGAGCATCACTTCCCATAAGATTACAGGTATACCTCGCTGACATGCACCAAATAACACGAAATCTAGGTCTGGGGTTTCTTGTAGACTATCTCTAACAACCACTTGTTTTGATAACAATTGATGGTAAAAAAACAAGAATACCACTAGTTTCCTTTAAAAGTAAGCTTTCAAATAACGATTATTATTATTATTATTATTATTATTATTATTATTATTATTATTATTATTATTATTATTATTATTACTATTAATCTCGTGTTTTGCAAACTTTCTGTTTCTCTAAACATAACATAAACACAAGTATGAGGTCAAGTTCATCTATTCGTTTTTTTTCTTAACTAACTACAATCTCTAGTTAATATTTATTCATTTAAAATAAAACTGTCCTCTCAGTAATTTAGTGTGCTTCATACACTAATTGGTTTATTTTAAATTTCATTGCTGAGTCCGACAAATTCAAATCACATTAAAAACCACACATGAGATATGATAATTTCCTTAAAAATACCTTCTAACTACTTCAGATGTGACACTTTCATCTATAGTGGTTTCAACTAAGTGGTCAATTGACTGGCAGTCATCAAAAGGATCCGCATCACATGTTTTCAATATCACTCTCAAAGTTATAAATCAACCTAGTAAATATTCAAATTCATATACATACATTTACAAAGTCAAATCACTTAGTTTAACAACCAAACAACCTTCTCACTTGTTGAAATTCAATAAACAATAGGAAGTAAGGATTATGAATAGTAGTTTTTAACTACATACTGACTTCATTAACAATAATTAATTGTATATAACAATTCCAATTTCGCTGATGACCTAACCCTCCTATCACATACACACGAACAAATGAAGATAAAGACAACTCGTATAGCAGCAGCCTCTGCATCAGTAGGCCTCAACATACACACGGGGAAAACCAAGGTTCTCAAATACAACACGGAGAACACCGATCAAATCAGTCTTGATGACGAAACTCTGAAAGATGTAGAATCCTTCACATACCTGGGATGCATCATCGACGAACAAGGAGGTTCAGATGCAGACGTAAAGGCAAGGATTGGAAAAGCAAGGGTCGCATTCTTACAATTAAAGAACATATAGAACTCAAAACAACTGTCTGCCAATCAATATCAAAGTGAGAATCTTCAATACGAACGTCAAGGCAGTTCTACTGTATGGACCCGAAACTTGGAGAACTACAACAACCACCATCAAGAAGGTACAAGTATTTACAAATAGCTGCCTACGCAAGATACTAAACATCCATTGGCCGGATACCATCAGCAACAGCTTTCTGTGGGAGAGAACAAACCAACTTCCAACTGAACAAGAAATTAGGAATAGATGATGGAAATGGATAGGACATACATTACTCAAATCACCAAACTGCATCACGAGGCAAGCCTTAACTTGGTATCTTGAAGGGAAACCGAAAAGAGGAATGCCGAAGAACACATTGCGTCGAGAAATAGAAACAGATATGAAAAGGATGAATAAAAACTGGAAGAAGCTGAAAAGGATTGCCCAGGACAGGGTTGGATGGAGAATGCTTGTGAGTGGCCTATGCTCTTTCACGAGGATTAACAGGCGAAAGTAAGTAAGTCACAATTCCAACCTAATAAATACATGTTAAAATATGAACAGTAATCGGTAACATTAATATGTAGTAAATGAAAAGATTACGTGATAACCAGTTCCTGAAATTATGTAATTATTTATATTTATTTCCACGATATAAAAAACATTTGGAAACGTTTTACTTTATTCATTTATCTTAAAGTACATTAATTACTTCATCAATATTGTTTTTCCCTCCTTAAAATTCCTGGGAAATATAATTTACTAAAACAATCAAATCCCATTCACTTTCTTATAGACATAAATCAATTTTAAAAAAGAAATGGTAAACATGGTTAACTATAAATGATTAATATTTCGTTAGTCTCTAACATTTATCATTAAACGTTAGAATAGCTCATATTTCTTAGTTAATCTATTTACCTTCTTAGAATAATCAATTTGGAAATGTCGAAGTTATGCCAATGGTTTTAGGCAATCATATTACATTATTTAATGAAACTAAAGCATATGTCATATATGATATGTGAGATTTATATTGAAAGATGAGTTACATGATAGAGTAGGAGCTACATGAAAGAATATATTGAATGATCAAACGACAAAAATAAGTACTGTCTTATTTGATAATGATGTAAATCAACTAATCTTTTCCATGATGGTTTTTGAAGAAGTATAATTGTAATAAACAGGAGTATTTGAATTATAGTATGACCTAAGAATCCCAGCAACAACGTAATCATATCAAGAAGTACTAGATAACCACAAACGAATGGACTGTATTTAGAATTCGAAATCAATTGTTCAACAAGTACAAAGGTATCATTAGTTTATTCAAACACCACAGTAATTTCATCCTCTTAGATAAACTACATATTCCAAATGGAAATTTACAACAATAATGGTGATTTATTGGGTTTTTTTATCGTTGG